AAAAAAAAAAAATAAAAGTATTACCGGATTCCTACCAAACATTTTCAGTGTAGTATAACTCACAAGTCGTGTTGCATAGCAAGCACCTCAAGAATGTGCTGTTTCATTAAATGCCATCAGCTTTTATCTTGAGAGTATAAATGTTTTATTACAGTACTGGAAAAAAGATTACAAAGACACAAGATAATGCCTAATGCAAAATTGCACACTACTAGCCACAGTTCAGGACCTCAGTGGATTGCTTGATACTAGTGCTGGATCATAACCCCGAGTCTCTCTGCAGAGCAACAAACAAGTGAGCTCTGCCTTGCTTACAACACTATTTTTTGCCTGAGCAACAACAGAGCAGATTGTTTCAACTGAAAGATATCCTTAATCTATATAGGCTTGAAGCTTCCAAGGCTGCTTCAAGACTTGTTTCCCTAATAATTTAGATAAACTGTAAAAAAAACCAGGGTTTATATGCAAGCTAACAGAATACTTCTACATAAATCTTGTAAAGGCAACTCAAAGATACCTGTCCATCTATGACTTCCTGCTGTCCACAAAGTTGACCCAGTGGCAAGCTCTGCTTGCACTATTTCTAGACTTCTAGATGTCTAGACCGTGGCCTTTTGGCTATACTCCTTCAAAAGTACTGTTCCCATGATCTCATATGAGAAGCATATGAAGTTATTACAAAAAAAGTACTTTAGCAGTCACATGTTCTATGGTCTCTCAAGCAATTCCAGACATTTCTGTTGCAGAGGACTCTGATAGCTGTACCTCACTCTCCGGGAGAGGCAATACAGGGGGAGAGAGTTCTCATATTTCCTTCCAACAGTGTTTGTGACACTGAAACTTTATCTGACAGCAGTAACAACCACTACTGATTAAGTCATCTTCAAGACTTCTTAGATATTCTAGGGTTGCCAGAAATGGAAAGCCTGAGGGCTGCCTGGGATCTATTCAAATATGTCAACAAAGTGTTTCTTCAGAGTGGACAGAAGGCCAGCACAGGAGGCAAATATCCTCTCTCCCATCACTGCAGCAGATATAAGAAAGGTAACTTGACTCACTCAGCCTTCACAGTTTTATTTTTCAGCACCACACTGTTTCAAGGACTGTGCACTTAAACGTTTGATTCCTCTGAGCACTCAGACTAGAATAATCTATATGCACCTGCTCTGTCTGGGAGTACACAAGCTCCTGAGACGCCATTTACACTGAAGTGCCCGCTTTAGGCTGCTGCATTTCACACCTCATCTCACCACTGAGTCTGAAGTAGTGGCCCAGAGTTGTGAAGGCTTCAAAGGCAGCCAAACCAACAGCTACAGAGAACCAAGATGAGGAATGAAGTTATTTTAATCACAACCTTCCGCAGGACATAGGCTATAATGAAGCCTTAGTATCTCCAACACAAGAACAGATTTTTCCAGGAGACAGTTCAATACAGGTTGTTATAACAGCTCCTGGGTAAGTATTCTACATGAGCCCATCAGCAACCTGCACCAATTGGGTAAACCCAAAAATCATTCTATCATTCACCTCTTCCCCACCACAGACACCTAAATCTGAATATTTGCTTTTGTTCAAGGCACATGTGGACAACTCAGTTCTGCATTTCATTTGCAGTATAGAAATTTCTCCTGTTGCTAGAGTGAATTCTAAGCACAGCTCTCTGGAAGGCAAAACTTAAGAAGAGAGTAGGGACTTGAACATCAAGTGTTGACAGCAGCAGCCATGAAAAATCAGTATTTAAGATACATCTCAGAGGCTCTTGAAAGAAAAGCTATAGAACAACTATACTACAGGGACAACGTTTAAAATAATGATTTTTCAGCTCTCCCCGTCTTTAGATGTTATTTATTTCATTCAATAGCTATCACGTGTAGTCTACCAACCTACATCGAGGTTCAACAATGATTTTGGGAGAGAAGGGTGAAGTGGAAGCTTGTGCCAACAGCAAGCAAGAAGCTGTACTACTGAACTGCCTGCTATTAGGGCCCCCATGTGAGAGCAAGCAAGGGATCACAGAAACAGCTATTTAATGGACTAGTGAAGAATTCCTTCTCTGCTGTGCCAAGGGAATAAAGGATCCCAGACAGCAGATTGTATTCTGCACATATTAAACCTTACAGACAACCTCCTGCTGCAGTCTAACCTAGAAGCTTGCTTTCCTCAGACTTGTGTCATTGCCTTGACCATCTTTTAATGGGAATTAAAATGCATTTTCACTATAAGATAAGAGCAGCTAAGAGTAGGTAGTAGACTTCAAAGTAATCTATATCCAGCAAAGAACTCCTCTGAGTTTGCACGAGTTATTATTCAAAGTCCTTTATAAACAACACCTTTAGTAAAGTGACCCAAGTGCAGCCCAGCACTTGGAAGGCCACCTGCAGTGATACATAGTTAATACTGATAAAAGCAGGTGATCTGATACTTACAGACATATACTAAACATTGATCTCCTTTTCAGGGGGCTCTATTATTTAATCTTATTTATCCAGTACATATGTCCAACAACAGCAGGTAAACTTGCTATAAACTACAAATAAGGTAATGATGTTTGTACACTCTAACAATGTAGCTGTGTACAGGACCTAGAAACATGCTTATCTCAACACCATCATCCAAGGATGTCAGGCAGCAAGCACTCTGCCACGGGGTTCTTTCAAAACTACCAGTGAAGGACAGTCAGCATAACCATGCACATTTAACAGGCAGCAAGATGAAGGCACAGAGCAGTCATTTACTGCAAGATCCTTCAGTACACCACAAACATGGTCAAATCTTGACTAACAAGGGCTAGGACTGCCACGATGGTCTTACTTTATCTCAGTTTTACACAATGAAAGGCACATTGTCACACAGTGATGCTCTTCTGCTTTTCCCCTTACCCTCCAGTCATCCAATAGAGATAAATCTTGAAGCTATTGGGACAGTAAACATTCAAGTATATGAACTATCTGTGATTCTAATTACCTAACCACAGAAGCAAGAACTTAATTTGCTACTGCAAAACTACAGAAGATGTTTGGAGAAACACCTTCCTCCTGAGCTTGCAGCAACAGCACTCTTATTTAACTCAAGAGCCTCCATGTCTCATAAGTCCTCTGACAGGTTACCTGCTGACTAACGGTTAGAATCCCTAACACTCACCTTGGTACAAAGAGATTTTGGAGATGTTTGAGAATGCTTTGAACATAAAGGTTTGGTTCCTTAATAACAGGTAAAGGAATAGAGTCCTTAGGTAACACAAGAGCCATAATCCAATCTGTATACACATCCACACAGTATTTCACAGTATCGCCATCCAAAGGGAGAGTCAGTCCATAACAAACCACCTCCATAGTCCATTTTACCTAACAAACACAAAATATTTGTAAGTAAGTACTGGTCAGAGCACATTAGTTCTAACTCAAAAAAAACAACCCAAAGAAACCAGTAGTTATGTTGCATGGGCAATTCTGTTTAACATATCCTGCAAGAAAACACCAAACCATTAACTCATATATCATATTATGAAGAATATAAATAAATGGCAAATCACTTGCTAAATCCCAAATCTCTTAAATCTAAACTGTAGTGAGAACTCTTCAGAACATACAAAAGCTGCTAGTGAAAGATTTTCAAATTCTAATAAATACTTGTACTATACAAAGACTTTTTTTGAAGTCACATACGGTTGCTTCAAAACTGAAGGTAATTAGAAAGGCTTTGTGTTAAATGCTAAATTTCTTGGGTTTGTTTTGAGTTTTTTTGGTTGGTTTTCTTTAGCCTGAATTTCCTGGTACAGTAGCTCAGACTAACACTTACTATTAAGTCATGAAGTACACTGTCGCTATGATCTAGTTACTAATAAAAACCCTATGGAGATTACTAAACTAAAAACATAACACACTTCATAAAACTTGGGACAATAAAGAGAGAAAAATAGAAGAGGCTACAGAAAACCATAAAACTGTCACTCTGCCATGAAGGAAACTATCACCTCCAAGGAAAGGCACTTACTTCTTTGTCTGTTTTTAGTAAACTCTCACTTCCAACAGATGATGTAATTAAAGCTTGTCCAAGAGGGCGGACCACTGCATTTGCCACTTCTCTCCCCACATTCTCAGGATAGCTGTGAAGTACACTGGTATTCCCCTGATCATTTTGAATGACAAGATGCAAGGATCTCCACTCTGAGTACATAGTGCCTCTATGCTACAATCCAAACAACACCTAGGGGACAAGGAAGAAAAAGAGACAATTAGTCAAAATATCTACGACATGAGTTAGCAAAACCAAGGCTGTGTATCACAATCCAGACTCTAATAAATTCAAGATGCATATGTACATTTTATACTTTTGACAATCTAGAAGAGATTCCAACAGTTGTTCTTCAACCTTAGTATGCTTTTTACACAGACAAGCTTTAACATAGCTTGATCACAGAGATTACAGCAAATTTCAGTTCAGGACTATAAGCCCATTTTAGATACTTAAACTTGAGACGTGACTTCACCTCACACTTCTGCTTGCACCACCTTTGCAGGAAAGATGCTCCCATTTACACGATATCTTCACAGTTCTACGAGTATTCTGCTCATGAAGCAATGGCTGCAATTCATCCCTTGTTCCCTTTTTCACCTCAACAGCATTTAAAAAGAGATACCAGAAAACTTCCAAGAAAACCTTAGTCATCTGAGAAGACAAAAATTCAGCCTCTTTTACGTTCTTAAGGTATTTTTACAGCAGGCACTATTCAAAACTGATAGCTGAAAAATCCAACTGAGTGATAATGAAGAGTGCCCTTTATTTGCAGTGAGTTCAGGACTGGCTGAGCCTCAGTGTAGCACTAGCTTAACGCAGCATCACTTTTCAGTTTCATTACAACACATACAGGTTCCAAATCTATGGCATTGGGGTGCATTTCAAATCCTTGTAAAGTCAATACACACAGAGTCACTCCATAAAAATCCACATTTGTCCCAGACAGAAAAGCCACTAGGAAATATCCCAGGCAGCGCACACAGAACTACACACAGCTCTCCTTTCAATAACAATTCCGGCACAACTGCAGTTGTGCATTTCCCCTCACTGCCATTTGAGATCAGGAAGCCAAGCTGACTATGAACTAACCAGGTTTTTGCAGTGATGGGAACTTGGGCTGGGTATTTTGGCATTACTGTGAAACCTCAACCAAGAGAGGTGATGAGAAGCAGCAGAGTTAAACTGCGCTCCCTTCTCAGGCAGCAGCACCCTTGTGTCCCGAGCAGTGGCTCCTGCTGCACCAGCACACACCACCTGCATCCTGCACAGGGCCAGGGCTGGCATCCAGGCCAGAACCCCCTGCCCCGGGAACGGGCAGGGCAAGGCAGCACCAGTCATGGGACTGCACTGGGCAGCTCTTGGACACCCACCACCAACGGCCAGCACTGATCCACACAACAAACTCATCCAGAGACCTCATCTAACTCAGGTGACACAACAGAGCAGTGAGGACCCAGGGCCAGAGGGGCAGTAGGAACATCCCTCTGACAGCAGAATGCTTTGTACACGCTCACAACAACATTAAACTGCTGCTCGAGCAGGTGGTACCACAGCAGCCTGAGCCACCAGAACTGGGACCGTGCCATCTCCCTTTCCTCCTCTCCCACCAGAATCGGCAGTCTTTTACCCATTATCTGAGCCAGCTGACCACATGAACAAGGAAAACAGGGCTGGCACAGGAAAAAAGCAAGGAGTGTCCAAAAGACACAGCTCAGAGCAGCTCAAGCTGTCACGGATGGCACTCCAAAATCCATTTGCCAACTACACTTACCTAGCACTATTTGGAAGCCAGTTAGTTACACAGGGAATATTTTGAACACTTCTCTTAGATATTTGTTGGCCCAAAACCAAACAAGAAGTCAGGCCTGGAAATATATATTCTTAGGGAAAAGCCTATTTAAACAAGTCGGCCTATTTAGTTGACTCCCCAAATGTTTATATCCAAAACCTGTGCAAAAAGCCTGACAATTCCCTTCAAGGGAGACAGAAAAGCAAGGCAGCAAGATCTTGTCTTCCAAACTACATCCTTCCTGGTTTGAGGCAGCAATCACGTGTGCTCATCTGATAGTGAGTTAACCAGAGCAGCAGTAGCCTGCAGGATGTACAACCCCTACATCCTTCAGGCACCTTCCATCCTCTGGGGGCTGAGGCAGGGGGAATGCTCATGTCACTGTGGTCAAAAACCTCAGGCTTAGAGAAAGAAGGCAATTCCATGACACAGAAAAGTCACACACACACCCTCCAAAATCAAACCAAAATCCCAAACAAAAAAATCAAACAAAGAAAAGAAACCACACAAAAACAAAACACCAAATAAAACCCACAAAATCCCAATCCTCAGTGATGGCTTGCATCACTGCTTAGCTTCACTATCTAGGTTTCCATACTGGCATCTTTTTCTTTCATATCCTGTAGCCACAGAGATGCTTCATCTTCCCCTTTCTCTCCCACCTGAACACCATCTTAGTCTCTCCAGCATGTGTTTGGAGTCAAAGCAGAAGGGACAGAAGTGAGATATAATCCACTTGCCAAGACTTCCACCTCCTCTCTCAGCCCCACAGCACTTTGCCTCTATCCCCGGAGCAGAGCCCCTACCCTCTATCCTACAAGGGAAGCACTCTCCATTCCTCTCCAGTGACACAAGTTCATTAGAAGCACGTAACCCTGTAACAGCATTTGAGGAACACTGGTTTATTTAAACTGATTTGAACTGATGAAACAGCATGTCCTTTCCATACCCATCCTCTGGCAGGCAGTGAATAGCTCATGGCAGGAGCTTAGCAGTGTGTGATAAGCACAGCACACTAACTGTGTCTGCCCTCATCCCAGAGCAGGGTGCCCAGGTGTGTGGAAGTGCTGTACAATACAAGCAAATAGCAGGCAATGACTATGTGGGAGCTTTCCCATCTAGAAGAATGAGCTCAAAGGATGAGGTTTCCCAAATCCTGTTGCATTTTAGAAAACCTTAATTGCACTAGGGCAAAGGAACACGAGGACACAATCACTCACCTTCATGCAGCTCCCTGTCACAATGAAGAAAAGATGCAAAGCTCTTCTGGGTGACCCTTGCACACTTCTGAGCAGTAGCACTTTTAACACACACACGATACCTACAATATGCCATGCTGAAGAGGTCTGGCAGCAGGACAATCAAAACATCTCATACCACACACTCCCAGCCTGCTGCCTGACATTCATACAATAAATTTAATGATCAGCCTATATCTTATTAACATTTGAGGCTTCCTTTGGTCTTACTGTAAAAGGAACCTTCTGTTAGTTTTAGCAATACACAAGGAATGCTGAAAGAACTTGATTCAGATGCAAAATCCTTATGAGGGGGATTTATCAGTGCATCGATCTGTTCAGCCCCCCCTATATTCAGCAGTTTGAAGTTTTTATTTGAATGGACTAGAAATTACTTTTTATCTAAGAGTCCAGTTCAACTGCCACTTAAAATTGGAAATGACTGCGATCTGTTAGGATTGGAGTACCACTAAATCTATCTAGTATGCAGTTTCTTCTAACTGAACAGGAATTTTAAAAGGCTGGAAAGTCTCCACAGTGATATCCAAGACAATGTTCCTGACAGATTCCACACACTGACAGCTTCCCAGTTTGCCTCAGACAAAGAGCACCTAATGCTGTGCAGCAGCAGGACTCCCTCCCTTCCAAGATGCTGTATTCATCAGTAACTACTGACACAGCAACAGCAAACTGAAGACCAAAAAAGTAACTGTCACATCACACCTCATTTTGGCTTCTGTTTTTGCAATGCTTCTATATTTCAGCTTCAATACAGTATCCTCACTGGCCCAACTAACATCTCCCAAGTTTCATGAAGCTGAATATTCACACTTCACATACACATGTCTTATTGGGGTTCAAATCACTCAGGACTCTCAGAAAGTTGATTAAGAGGAAGGGTGAGAAGGGTAATAAATAAACCCCTGTTGTTCACCAAGCAGTTTTACACACTCTTGTATGCTATATGTTCACTGTATGATCCTGGAGGCTGCACTAAAACAAACATCCTCATACTCTCACAGACAGACCTGGAAAGAAATCGCCAGCATTATAACTAGCAAAACAAAGGAGACCTTCATTTACTATGAAACTGAGCATTCAATATTCCCTAGTGTAGTGAATAATCTGGATTTCAATGCATTTCCTCCTAATCTGTTTTATTTTAGCAACTTCAGTAGTTATCACCATATAAACCAATGAAACTGGATGTCTCAGGATTGAAGACCCAAGATCTTCAGTTCTCAAACACTGCAGAAGCCAGTGAACACAAAAGAAAAATTAGTACATAAAACTCAAAAAATAAGTTCTACTTCCAGTTTCCAAAGACTTAATATGAACAGCTGCAGCCATAATACTTAAACTCCAGGATCACTAAAGTCAGACAGTAAGAACTAAACAGAGCCCCACTCTGCAGTTACTGTGAAGGAATGTGCAGGAGGTCCAAGACTGAAGCTGAGGTGTTTGGAGCATGCGCAGGGGAGAGTCAGGGAATCAATACCCATGTACAGAGAAGTTCCTCAAAAAAGTGCAGTGAGGAGGGACGTGCTAGGGACAAATGTGAACATTTAGTCTTTTGTGTCCAGCACCTTTAGATTGTAAAATGAAGTATTTTCCTACGATGCAAAAGAGCTTCAAGCACGAAGACAAGCTGTCCCAAAAGTGGATCCTTCTTGGCTTTTATTAGAAACAAAAGAGCAGAGCAGACACAATGGTTAGTAGTACAAGAGATGCACAGACCATCAGCAGAGATATGCTCAAGGAAGGCTGAGGGCCTAATTGAGCGCAAACCAGAGATGCGGCCACAAAAAAAAGGTCTACATCAAAGTTCTGGCATATCAGATATGTTTTATAAGTATTCCCTGGGAAAAAAAAAAAAAAAAAGCCCTCTCATTTTACATGACCTCTGCTACCTAACAGTACTAATATCTGCTCTCTAGAGGAAACAATTCTTGCCAGAAAGCTATTCTGCCACAACCCACCTTCCTCCAAAGCACAAACCAGACGTTTATGAGCAATTTTTCACGGGCCTGTAGCACTGTGAGCATAAACAGCTGCTATATGCCCACTTGTCCCCCTGCTTTTCAAGTTCAGGTTGGAGAAAGTGAGTTAGATCTAGCTGAAACTAACTGTACCTCTGGTATTAAGCCTACCAGGCCTGAGGAAGCACAAACCTCCTGGTAGCTCACCTCTGGAGCCATCTAACAGGTGCCTAAGGTATGCACTGCATAAAAAGGACAACAGCTAGAGCAGAGAGAAGGCAAAAAATAAAAAATGGCAAGAACCCAATAGAAGACCTGAGAGCAAGACCAGCAGAAAGTTGGTATTTTAAGTGTTCTGCTAAAGAATAAAAAAAATGCACGTCAGGGTTACTATTCAATTTTTTTAGAAGTTTATATTCAAGGCAAGAGATGAGGCACACATCCTTTCCCAAGCTATTCAGTCATAGCACTACTAAGGGTCAGAGCAGAGAATCACAGCTACCCTTGCCCAGAGAAGACAAATCTGTCCGATTTTATTGCATTACTTTAGCAGAAGTTAATACATGAATGCACTACAGGGGAGGCTGGGTCTCAAACATAAGGTGCCATTTAAGCCACAGGACTCCAGTCTTACTATCTCCAGCACTCCCAGTTCATGGACCCCATCATCCCCTTAGTTCCCAGGAACACTGCTAGGCACAGCCTGGCCAGAGAAGGAGACAGGGCACCTACTAAAGAGAAGTTCCATACTGTTACATCTAAAGATGAGCAGAGCCATAGGAAAGCAAAAACATCATTTGGCTATTATTCTGCTTTCAAGCATTATTATTCAGACAACAGTACTACTCTGCTTCCCACTATCACTCTCATTTTTAACAGCAGGTTTGAGAAAATTATCTTCCAGGCAGGTCACCTGAGAATTTAGTAAGTTTTCAAACCCCTCACTTGTGCCAACAACTATTTAATGAACTTGACCACGAAACAGTGCACTCGACTGAGAAAAATTTTTACTCAACAGTTTATGTTACACTGGCACTTATTTCTCAGTCCAGTTTCTCGCGAAGTCTCCAAACTACTCAAGCAGGAAGGACTCTCTTGCAGGCACAGCCCTTTTACTCCGTAGAGAAGCCTCGCTGCAGTTCAC